CATTTGGACCTCTGGACCCACAATCTGGCCCAATTATTAGGACTGGTGCATCCAAACCTTTTATCTCCACTAACAGTGCTGATTGGAGGTGGATGTCCTTTTTCCACAATCATTTTTAAAATGTAATATCAATATTTGTGCTACTTTAATAATCCAATCTTGTTCACTTTTTTTAACAGAATTATTTTATTTTCTCCTTGATAATCTGCATCAATTCCTCCTCCCATGACATGAACACTTTGCAAGACCAAGCTCCAGTGAGCAGTTACCAAACCAAAGTGTCCAGGAGGAATCTGAATTCCTGTTTCAGTATTGTTAACTCTCATTTGCTTCTGATTTATCCTAATGAATTCCAGTGCATGAAGGTCCAGCCCTGCAGCCTCTGGGGTGGCCCCGGCAGGGGCCATCACAGCCAGAACAATTTCCCAGGCAGTCCAAATCTCACTGTCCATGGCTGTGTTTGCAAATTGGGTGCAGCCATGCACACCCAGGGGTTTCCATTTCCCAGTGGGCCCATTGTTAAGGGCATGGAGCACATCTGGGAGATGGGTTCTTCACCAGGACAAGTTCCCATCTCTTCATTTTTTCAACCTCTTTTTTAACAGCCCCTTCACCCGTTCAACCAATCCTGCAGCTCGTGGATGGTGTGGAACATGAAAAACCCAGCAGTCTTAATCACTGTGTTTTTCACAGGAACAGACAAAGCATTCCACATGACAGCATCAGCAAACCCTATAAGAACAGCCAATTTCATCCCTTCCTCCTTTATTCCTTCTATACAATTTCCAAAGTGTATTGTACTGACATTTGGGTCTTGGTCAGTCTTTTTTTTTAGGGTTTTTAGTGTTACAGTGAGCAGCCAAAGCTAACAAGTTAGTATTTTCAGCATTATTTCACACTATCAATTTTTAGATATATATAGAAATATATATTTTTGTGTTATATTATAACATTATGTTATTGTATTATTAGTAGTAGTAGTAGTAGTAGTAGTAGTAGTAGTAGTAGTATTTCACTTGCAGAAACAAAGCTGAGCTGAAGACTAAAACCTTCTCCTGTACCTTCATGTGGGAGCATTCCAAAAACTATTGTTCCTTCTGTTGGTGCTGTTCCCAATGTGCCATTAACAAAATCCATCCTCGTCTTCCCAAACCCACAAGCCCTTTTCCATATGCAATTTTTGGATGCATTTTAAGACATCCGGTGGTTCAGCCTCTTTTAACTCACTGCCCCACTGCTCACACAGTGCTCTGACCTCAGCCCCACTCCAAAGCCAGCAAACTCTAGGGAAGGGCTTCCCATCCGAGAATTACAGACGGGACTGATTCCTTGCATTTACATTTAAGAAGTGACATTTTGTTGTGGTCTGGTCAGACTTCGCCAATTTTGTTCTACCAGTGGCAGGTTCAGCCCCAGAAACACAAACACCACCTGAAGGAATCAGTGTCATTTACTGCAGCCCCAAGCAGCAAAGGATCACAAAAGGAGCAGCTCAGCAATGCACCCAATCATCACTGCCAAAGATTGCCTGCAGCGATTAACAAAGATCCAGCACCAGTTCCCCTCAGACTTTGCCATCCCCACATCCACACATCAGCTGGAGAAGCTGTCACAGCCAAGGGCTGCAGAGCCACTCCCGGACACTGGGAATTCCTGCAGGGGCCTCCAGCCACAGCTGAGCCTCCAACCCTGCTGTGAGAGGGCCCAGCCCTGATAGTGCTGAATAAACAAACTGACAGCACTTCTGGTGTGGGAACATCTGGTTTCATCCTTCTCTTGGGTTCCTGTCAAAGCCTGGCCAGGCCTCAAGGAGGAACCAAGGGAGTTGACTCTGACCATACAGCCCCAAACAAGGCCAGATGTTGGATTTAATGGCCTTGTCTGACTTCTGAACATAGAAACCTCAATCCATGCTTCACTAATGAGTGGATACATCTATCACAGTGCTAATGACCATGCATAGTTCAGTAATGAGCAGATACACAGATAACCTTTGGCTGGAAGGTTCATCCAGAGGTCACCTTTGGCTCAGGGCCTGTTGTTCAGGCCTCACTCAGGGCCTGTTGTTCAGACCTTGGCACTTCAGGGACGAGGTTTAGTGCTGGGCTTGACACTGCTGGGTGACTGGCTGGACTGGATGAGCTCAGAGGTCTTTCCCAGCAGAAAGGATTCTGGAATTCCAGGATTCCATATGCTGCATTCACCTAGGTCCATGTTAGAAGCATTACTTTGGTCCAAAAGTCCACTCTTGCTCAGCTCTTGTGGCCTGAGGCTTCAGCTCCTTCACCTCCTGGTGCTCAGCTGCTCATGCTGAACGAGACCACTCAGAGAGAAGAATACACTTCATCCAATTCCTTCTGGAACACGGAGAGGGGAGGCGAAAAAACAGGAGCATTGTTTGGTGTGGCCTCCTCTCTGCCCTTCACACCTTTCAGCACTTTGAACCACACAAGAGATTTCTCCAAGAGTGCAATGAAGCAGCTGCTCCTGCTCCCAGCTCTGGCTCTTCCCAGTCTCTGGCCTTGCCTGGTTTTGTCCCTCTTGCTGTGCTCTCTGTTCCCCCAGGGCTCGGTGGCTGCTGCCCAGGACTGTGGGACTGGCACAGATCAAGAGGTCGAGCCCCTCTTTCTGTGCCCTTGGAGCTGCCTGGTCACAGCAGCCTTTTCCATCTGGAAGCTCCACATGGAGATGGAGTCCCCAGCTCTGTTCCTGGCACAATCTGCAGGAGTCCAGGGCTGCCATCTCAAGTCCCTGCTGGCACTGAGGGCTCCCAGGTGCCTCAGGCTGCTGTGACACCGCTGCACAGGGAGGGAAGAGTGGCAGGGGCTGTGCTGAAAGTCAGCTCCATGTGCATCTGCTGCTGCTGCTGGGGTGGGGGGGCATTTGTCCAGCCCTGCCCCAGACTGAGGGATCAGATCCAGGCACTGCTGCTGCTCCCTCGGGACCAGCCCCAGTTTGGTTGTTGCTGTCAGTGCCAGCAGAAGCCGTGGCTGGAGCAGCAGGTGCTGACAGTGCCCCAAGGCCCGGGGCTGGAGGGGTCCCTGGGCTGGGGCTGGGAGGGAGCTGCCCCTTGTTCTCCCTCTGCCTCACACAGAGCTGGGCCGGGCACAAGTGGGGCAGCAGAGCCAACAGGGAGCCTGCGAGTCTCTTCCAGCCGTGCCTGCTCAGAGTTTGGCCTTGGAGCTTCAGGTGGGCAAAGGCAGCTGCTCTGCTCCCTCTGCATGTGCTCGTGTTCAGCACTGCTGCTCCATCAGTCTGTGCCCAGCAACGGGGAAAAGCCTCAGCCCTGCAGGGCGGGGAGCTGCCGGGCTCTGCCTGAGCAGCTCAGCCAGCGCGAAGGGAGCTGCTCCACAGGGGAACCCAGAGCAAAGGACAAGCCTTTTTTATAGCATGTTTTCTGCTTTAAGGGGAAAAGAAAGGAAATACAAAAAAAAACTTTTGTAAAATGTGAAAGATAAAAACAGAACCCAAGTGTGCAGTGAAAAATCTTCTATAACTTTGAATTAAGTGGTAATTGGTTTTTGAAACATAGAACTCAGTTATTTACTTTGTAAATGTGCTGATGGCATGATGCATCTTACTGGCCTCAGTAACCTTTTTGAAAAAGATTTTGGGGTTTGATACCATTATTGTTATTTTAAATTGTGGTGAAATTGATGTGAAGCGAGAAGAAACTGCTTTGCACCGTGCCAGCTCCAAACAGCACTGGGAATCTAAACTCTGTCAAACCCCAAATTCTAGAGGAGATGCCCTTCCTTCTCACCCTGTGAATGAGCTGCACATTCCCTTTCAAACATTCAGGGCTTTCTTAAAGATGCAAAGTCCCACTTACAGCTTTTGGCTCTGGCTTGGAAGTGCAGAAGGGCAATTCTTCATCCGTCAGCTCCAGACTGCACTGCCACAGGAACACAGCAGTGGCACTTCTAGAGGAGGAAGAAAGTGCAATTGCACAATTCCAGCCAAAAAGAAAGAAAGAGTGCGACATAGAAAACATCCTGTGCAGATCCAGGCATTCAGCTGGGACTGGGGAGAGTTTGGCTTCTTGCCAATTGGATGTGTGTCCCTAACTGCAATCTCTTGGCCTGCACGAGAGTCTCACTCACCTGCAAAAGCAGAAAGCTCAGGCGGTGTGCTGGGAACGGGCTCGTCTGATGGAAAGCTGTCAGAACACTGTGAGGGCAGAGCAAGCCCAGCCATGCCTGGGGCTGAGCCCAGCAGAGCCCTGGCAGAGCCCAGAGCAGCCTCAGCATCCGCAGAGCCCGGCTGCAAGGAGACAAACCAGAAACTGCCCGTCAGCTCAAGGCTCCTGTCCCCTTGTCCCAGCCACCCACGGTGCCCAGGCCATGCTGGCCATGCTCAGAGCTGGGCCCAAAGCTACCCATCACTGCTGCCTTTGGGAGCAGAGCAGGAGGGCAGGACATGTGCCCAGCCTGCAGCCAGCCACGGCAGATCCAGCCCCTCAGCAGCTGCCCAGAGACAAAAAGCAGACTGGCAGCCAACTGAAGAGTTGGTTGCATCCACCTCAACAAAGAGGGGAGCCAGCCAGGCTGTGCCATGCCCAGATCTGGGAGCATCCCCTGGCTGTGGACTCACCTGAAAATTGGGCGTGGAGTGTGTCTTTGAAGAAGTTGCCAGAATCGAAGTCGATCATCTTCAGCTGACCCCATGGATGAATACATTGCCATCCTTGAGGTTGTCCTTGGTGTCTCCCACAGCAGCCCCCCGGCTACAGTTTCGCCAGGGGCTCCTTCTCCTTCCCTAGGGGCCAGACCAGGCTGTCAGTGCTCTGCCCAGGGCACCAGCCATCAGTGAACCAGACAAGCAAAACCAGGGGGGATGTGGCCACCAGTGCTTGCCACACCAGGTCTCCAGCTCAGCTCCAGCCCAAGAGCTGTGTATTCCCTTCTGATGACCCCTGCTCAGAGCTACAGGCAGGACAAAAACAGTCTGCTTTGCTCTGCCACTGACTGCCAAGAGATGGGTGGAGTTGTTACCTGCCAGGCCCCTGGATCCAACTGTTCACATGGATCTCTCCCATCTTCTAGGGCAGATGAACACCTAAATCCAAGGATCTTGGAAGAGATCTTCTAAGGATGGCCTGTCCAAGGGTTGCATGGACAAACATCCCTTAATTACGTCTTGGCACTCTGCAGAGAGAAACCAGGAATCACCGATCACTTGGAGAAGTTGACCCCCGTTCCTGTGCCCAGGCCATGCTGGGTGTGCCCAGAGCTGGGCCTAAACTTCCCCATGGATTCCCTGTTTCCAGGAGAGCAGGACATGTGCCATCTCCTCAGCAGTTGCCAGAGGGGGATGCTCATGAGCCCACTGCTGTCTCCCAACACTGGTGGTCCCCCCATGCCCAGAGATGAGGATCCACCTTGGGAGAGCTGCCATGGGAAGAAGATCCGCCCCCAGATGATCTGCTGGCCCGTCCTGAATGGGTGCTTCCCTGTCACCAGCTGGTACAGCAGGAGCCCCAGGGACCAGTTTGTTGCTGCCTGGCCATGGTAGCGTTGTTGGAGAATCCACTCTGGAGTGCTGTAGGACAGGGTTCCTGTGGAACACAGACAGAGGTCATCAGGGGGATGCTGCTGCTCCCAGAGGCTCGCCCCAGCATCCCTGGGAATGTGGGGGCTGCCCCAGAGGCACATGGGGTGACCTACTGCCCTCTCGCCAGCACCTGGGACTTGTGTACAAACTCGGGCGTGTAAATGAAGCCACTGCTGCTGGAAGAGGGCAGCAGAAGCACTGGGGAGGCCCAACCATGACCCAAAAAAGGAAAATACCCAGTGGTAGAAAAAACCCATTCTCCTCCCTGCCTGTATGGCCTCCAAAAAACTGTTAAAAAGCCAGGGCAAATGTGGGGAGCAGAGGAGTTCAAGCCCCGCCTTGCCGGCACACCAAACTGTGTGGGGCACAGGATCAGACCCCCCATCTCTGCTACCCCCATGGGGGATTTTGTCAGGCTGGCTGCCCCAGCCCCAGCCCCAGGGCACAGTGGGTGCTGAAGGCTGTCAGCAGGGCTGGGAGCTGGCCCCTCTCACACCCCTACCCAAATCAACTTGGCTCAAGTATTAATCCCATCCCAGCAGCACTAGAGGGAAGCCCCGGTGCCACGCCCAGGCTGGGCCAAGAGATGCCCAGGAGCATCCCCTGCGAGGGCTCACCTGCAAATCGGGTGTAGGCTGTGTCTTGGAGGAAGGCGCCACAGCCGAAGTCAATGAGTTTCAGCTGCCCTGTGGCCAGGTCCAGCAGGATGTTCTCTGGTTTGATGTCCCTGTGCAGGACCCCACAGCTGGTGCAGTGCTGCACGGCCTCCAGCACCTGGCAGAACAGCCCCCGCGCCTCTTCCTCCGGCAGGAACATCCGCTCTGCCAACAAATGCGAGAGGTCCTGACACTGCTGCGGACGCTCCAGCACCAACAAGAAGCTGTTGGGGAGCTCAAGCCACTCCAGGAGCTGAATGACAGCAGCACAGCCAGAGGACACCCTGTCCATCAGCACGATCTCCAGGGGCGCACGTGTACCGTCGGGCTGCGGGAGGAGCACGGTGCCGTCAGTGGGGCTGTGCCCGTGCCAGGGCTCGGGGACCCCTCAGCCAGCCCGGGATGCTCTGCATGCCCCGCTCCCCCCACGCCCGCTCTCCCCGCAGGGCTCCCGGTGGCTCCCACCCTGCTGGGCCCCGGCTCATCCCCGCCCGGCACGCTCCGGCTTCTGCCGCTGGCCCCGCTCACTCACCAGCCCGCCCTAGCGCCGGATGCAATCCCGCGGCACGCATTTCATGGCCACCTGCGAGCAAGGGGCAGCAGAAGGTTGAGCTCGATGCCTGCCCGCAGCGGCCCCGCCTTCTCCTCCTCCCCCTCCTCCTCCTCCTTCTCCGCCCGCCGCCCGCTCCGCTGCTCACCGGAGCACCGTCCGAGAGCCTCGTGGCTGCGAAGACGCTGCCGAATCCGCCACGCCCCAGCAACGAGCCCAGTCGGTACCTGTCCTTCAGGTCCTTGTGCGCATTCCCTGGGGGCGAGACGCGGTCGTCAGCGCTCGGCCCGGGGCCAGGAACGGCCCCCGAGCGCTCCCCGACCTCCCCGGGCCGAGCATCCGCAGGCGTCCGCTCCTTGCAACGCGACAG